TCCTAGAGGATTCCAGCTTCGTTTTAATTATAAATACTCATCCAGAGGCACTATGGAGTGCTTAAAATAATTGAGTTAATTCATGATTACCCGCATCCAACATGAGTGTGCTCTAGAATAAACCTAATCCAATTTGAAGACGAAGGGTCCCACCCATTTCAGTAAATTAACTCATCTTCGCACCACTCACTTCCACCTCCAATTGACCGATCATTTATTGATTAGTCACACCACTTCTGCTATCTAAATTAGCCACAGCCTGAATGCTCTGTCTAAAGGCCTAAATCCTGACAGCCAATTGGTTTATGGCCAGGTAGAATGGAATATTTGCCTACCAACAAGGCCATATGAGATAACTGTATCATTTCTTGAAGCCTTCGTGGCCTAAATAACTGCCTAAACTTTGTATAAAATGCATTTTCGATTTTCTCAAGGATGTTATTAGATTATAATTTTTGATTTTTGAAAATGAAAATAAGTTATAATTGCTTTTACATCGTCCAATTTAGAAAACAAGAAAGAGTTAAAAACATGTCGAAATAATTGAGTAACCTAGAGAAATTGGACAAAAGCTGGCTCACCAGGTTTTACCCTCAGCTGTCGTATCATAACATGGCCCATTATTCGGTTAGTACGATCCGCAATAAAGCCTCTTTGAAAGAGCGCTGGATCTTTATTGTACCAGGATTTTGCATGCAGATTTGGAACCAGAAAATCATTGACCCAGTCCCAAAATTGCCCTTCTGTATTTATCTGAAAATGAGAAATTCCTTTGATCCCTCTATGCTCAGCCCAAGACTATACAGATAATACAAAGATTTTCTAACAAAATATAATACTTATAAAATGCTTAAAATGTGATCGGGGAATGATAAATGCTTACTGAAGAGAAGTTATCTGGGAAGAATTCTGTTTGCAAGGACTGACGTAAGGAAGCAGCATATGGATTGCGAAAGCTCGAGGTTACGGCCAACATGAGACTGAAGAATAGTATGAAAAACCCAATCTCTCGAAGAACTTCATACATTTCTCGCTGTTTTAGGCTATAGATTCTGGCTCTTTCCAGGTCGTCTGGATGAGGCGGTGGGTAT